GGAAAAGGTGGGGAAAAAACTGTGTAATCTCAGGGTACTTTTTTCTGTCTCGCCTTGCAGATCTTAAGATCTTATTTTTTTTTTTTTTTTTTTTAAACAGCTGCCTATTGGTCTGTGGTATTTATGGAACAATGCTTCCTGTCAAATTAAATGATTTCTTCTACTATTGAATTTATTTCTACTACACAATGGGAGCGTCTACATATGTGCTGTATTGTGCAGTCCCAGTGATGCCTGGGTCGTTTTGAACCTTACTGCTCAGGAGGAACAAGCTACTGTGCAGTAACTTGTTGCTCCTGTGCAGTAGTGGTGGAACACGGTTAGTGCCTGCCAGTTCTACACCACTGTAGCACATCCATTAATAAGTAAAACCTTTAAGAAAGATTTATTACCACATTTGGCTCAAACATGGGCAAATATTTTCAAACACAAAGGCTAATAGAAATAGTTTCTTGTAATTGTTTCCATATGTAATTTTTAAAAGAAAAACATTTTCCTCCTGTCACCACAGTGCTTGTAACTTTATACCTTGCGCCATTTGTTAGGTAGAAACTAGATTTAAATTGAATTTTACTTAAAGAAAAATTAAATAAACTAGAAAAGTGAAAGTGAACAGAGAAAGAAAGGAAGAAAACAGAGTTTCCCCTCTTTGTGAAAAAGTAAACTAGAATCTCGAGGTTTTTTTAAAGATCTGAAACAATAAGAAACTTAATTTGATACCATCATGATTTAACTGACATTTTGTGCTATAAAGGCATCTGCTCTTCTAATAAAACTGATAAAGATATGGTCTCTGAAGCAAAGTTATGGGAGGTATAGACATAGGTTACAGGTAAATCTTACTGTTCTTATTTTTAGATTCTGTATGATATTTTAAACTTGCATTTTAACAGGAGGTGGCAAATCTGAAGGATGCCAAACAACTATTGATTCAGCAGAAACTAGAACTACAGGGCAGAGTAGATAACATGAATTCAGCCCTGGATCAGGAGAAGAAGAACCAGCAAATTCTAAGAGATAAGCTGAAGAAGAAAGAGGAAGACCTGAAGAAGGAATATGCTGAGCTTGAAGCTAAACTGGTCGGCATTTATGGAGTATAAAAGGGGGCCTTGTTAGCATATAGGTTTTTGGATCTTTTCAGAGAGAGTGGAAGGAAAAGAACATGTATTATTTACATTTTTTGATCAATGGCAGTAAATATTTTCCAAAATCCTTACTGTGAAACAGTTTTGTAGGAAAATTCAAGTATACCATGTCAAGTATGGTTTTGACAAATTGAAATAAATTTGTAGGGGAACAGTTAAAGGTATTTGTTCTATATAATACTTATTTTTAACTTAAATCCTAATTTAATTTTGGATTTGTGAAGAGACTGTTAATCTGAGTCAAGAAAATGAAAATTATTAGAAGAAAAGAGTTTAGTTTTCTTTTGCATGTAAGAAATGTTATCCTACTAGTAAAACGGATTTGTTTGAATATTCACAGATGTGTTTCTGTCTGTGCAAATGTCTTCAATGTTCTGCAGAGATAAATACCTGTGTCATCTTAATTGTTGAAAGTGCTTTTGCACCAAATTGGGTGCCTAGACTTTGTCCAGCATAGCCTACATCTCAGTCACTTATTTAATGGCTCACTGTTCAATGTTTATTTCTCAGCGTTCAGAGATAAAAGAGAAAGAAGAAGAAAACAAAAAACACGAGGAGGAAAAGGCCAAGCTCGCCATGCAGTTCACAGCTCTGAATGAAAACCTGGCCACAATGAAGAAAGAATGGCAGAGCAGCCAGAGGAGAGTCAGCGAGCTAGAGAAGCAGACAGACGACTTGCGTGGGGAGATAGCGGTATTAGAAGCAACAGTGCAAAATAATCAGGACGAGAGGAGAGCATTGCTGGAGAGGTGAGTCATTGAATGCCGTGTTGGGCTGTGGTTTCAGTGAGAGGTAAATGCTCAACATTCCCAACTCAATGTTGACTTTATCAAGTTTGTGCTGGTACCCCTAAATATTAAGATCCTTTTGGGGTCGTCCAGATTGATTTCCCACACACATAAGTATCAGGAGGCATAGTTGGTGACCTCCAATTTTCTTTTGCATGTGGCTTAGAAGGTCTTGAAGAATGGATGGACTGACTACATTTGTTGGTTGTGGGCAGTCCCAGCCCCCCAGGGAGGGCTGTACCTCAACTGAATAAAAATTGACCAATCAGTCCCCTCAGTGATGTGGAACAGGCTAATGAGCCTCCAGTATTAAAAAGAAGAAAAGAGGTGCATTGGCTTTCAATATTGCCCCCAGTGCATTGACTTTACGGTTGCAAGTCTCTAAAACCTCATTTAAAAGCCAGGATAGGCTTCCTAAGAGTCACCGGGCTTCCTGCAAATGTCTACAATTCTGACACATGACTGCCTTCTGCTGCCCCTTCTGAAGATCTCTTGAATGCTATAAGAGCAGAGATCCTTTGCTCCAGGAAGCACGTGGCCTGTAAGGTAAAAAGGGCCTGCGTGGGAGGGAAGACTTACATGGTAGGATGACCCTCTGAGGCCTGCAGGAGGAGAGACATCCTCTGTAAGATGTAGGAAACTCTGCTCACTTGTCCTCCCTTTTCTACTGTTAGGCTGTTTTGTGAATAGTGTCTTTTTTCTCCTGGTCATCTTCTTTGAAAAATGAATTGCATTTCAAGTGCAAGGGAATGTGTTTGAGACTCTTTAACATCAGTCTGTCTCCAGCAGTCGCACTGTACTAAATTTATCAGTGCCAACTTTTTGTAGTAATGGATGTTAAAATCTTACGAGAGGTAGGCTTTTAATGAACTATATTTGGTATGATGGCATTAAATCCAAGCTGGTGAGCGAGCCCAGGAAAGCTATCAGTTCTTCTGATGGACTCACAAACCTGTAAAGCAGCCTGCCAGTCTGGCTTGGAAGACTGTTCTGTTATGAACTTGTATACAGCAGTCTGCTTCAGTGGAGGAAATGAAGTCAATCCTGGCCTTACTGTCTCCTACTTGTTGCTAGCATTTGAAAGTGAGGGTCAGTGTATGAGCTGACATGTCTTTACTATAACAATTCAGTGTCCCAGCTGGAAAAGAATACTTATTTTTACAGTGATATCTTTCATTCTTCTTTCTTTAGTCTTCCAGCATTTATTTCTCCCAGGCTTTCTGACAACCTGCCACAAAGTTTGTTTGCATTAGCTTCTATTTGTTGTCCATCTCCAGGTGTATCAAAGGTGAGGGAGAAATTGAGAAGCTTCAAGCCAAACTTATGGAAATGAAGAAAAAGTTGGACAACACAACTGCAGCAATGCAAGAGCTAGGCCGAGAAAACCAGTCGCTACAGGTACACATCCCACTGAGATGGCCAATGTGATGCCTGTATCTGTATGTAATGATGAAAATCGCTTTGAAGTGAAGGGAGCCTTATCACTCCAGAGTGGTGCATTTGATATCAGTAGGAGCTTCATGTCTGTTCAGAATTTAGTCCATAGATTGAACTTCAGAAAGTCCCTGCCTTTTTTAAATAGTTGTGAACTATCAGTTCAATTGTTGCCAGGCAGCACCAGCCCAAGCTGTGGGGCCCTGTCCCCACTCCAATCCCATGCGCCCTAGACCCGAAGAAGCTGCTGCTGCCTTGGGGAGCGGGGGGTGCCGAGTGGCCAGACGTGAAGTTGGTGGTGGCAGCACAGAGTTGCCGTGGCCACTCTGCCCAGCTCCATGGGGCCCAGGGTGGTTGCTCCAATTTGCTCCCCACCGGGATGGCCCTGTTGCTAGGTATCAGTTTAATTGTTGCCCAGCCCTAACTCCACCCCCAACCAGGCCATGCAGAGGACAGATCTGGCCCAACTCCACAGGGGAAAGAGGTTGTGGCAGTGGGGGAGGGTGGCTGTAGGTATTGCCACCACTTCCCTGCTGCCAAATTTCCTGACCTGCGGGGAACCCCATGGGCCAGGTACCTATGGCTCCACAGGCCACATTTGGCTCATGGGCTGGAGGTTGAGCACCCTGGCTTTATACTGTGATTGACAGATTGTGTGTGATGTAATGGAAGACACATTTTGTTTACCTAGATCAAACACACGCAAGCCCTGAACAGGAAGTGGGCAGAAGATAACGAGGTACAGAATTGTATGGCCTGTGGGAAGAGCTTCTCGGTGACTGTGAGAAGGGTGAGTGTTCATTGTTTCCTTGTTATCCTTTGAAGTTCTGGCATGAAAACAAAGTTAAAAAGCATCTTCAGAAGATGCTCTTGTATGCAAATATCTCAAAAAACACGTGGCTTATGTTGCTTCAGGTGGCACAAATACATTTCCAAGAACTTAAGTTTGCCTTGTTTATGTACTGCTTTAACGATACTAGTTTGCTGACTGGACTAAGCAATTAAATCCCTAGTGTAGACTC